GGGTGTGTGTTGATGTATTTCGGGGGGGGGGGGGGGGAACATCCAGCGATTGCACATTCTGATGAGCTTAAGATTTTTCTGATATTAAGTACTGTACATTATGCTTTTAGTAAAAGCCATGTTGCTAAAGATTGTTATTTTTAAAGCATTTCCCTTGTTGAAGCTAGTCTTCTATGGCCAACCTTACAATAGTGTTGTATACAGGCATATAGGTTTGTGAATCCATTACTATTTTTACTGCAATCCAGGAACACGCAATACATGAGGCACAAATTTTAACCAAACGTGCTGCTAGTACTAAGCCCCACCACCACTATTCAATGCGAGTGTCGCTACGAATACCAGCAGCTCTCACTTGGACCTAAAAATGATGAGGGGCTGGTCCTGGCATTGGTCAGGCCATAAGCGAAGGCCTTATGTACAGTGTGGGTCTAAAATCCATTTACTTCCCAGGCACACAGATCGTTCGTTATTCACCTTTGATCAAGGCAGGTTCACTTTAAGCCACTTAAAGCAATCCCATCAAAAACCCATTAAACTCAACCCCCCTTCTGTGATTTAGATAGGCTTGTATTAATATACAACGCACATTTTCCTAAAACAGCTTTTCTAAACATGTATGGGTAAAAACGAGTACTGTAAACAGTTCAGAAGATATTAGTCACCGCTGAACTCCAATCAGATCTTAAACCAAACTCAACATTTCAGCTTTCCAGAATTCATTTAAAAAAATGTATATACTATGAGGGGAATGTATCAAAACTAGAGCAGACAAAATCTGGAGCAGCTGTGCATGGTAACCAATCAGCATCTCTCTTTCATTTTCAAATCTTAACTGAACAAACCTGAGAGAAGCTGATTGGTTGCCCTGGGTCTCTGCTCCAGTTTTGATAAATTCCACTTTGTATGTTTTTAAATGCATGTGCAAGTACCTCAATATCAGCTTCTTGTAACTCCCAAGAGTGGGAGAGGAAGGGTGATGACACATGCTAACAGAAGATAAGAGAGAGAGAGAGAGAGAGAGAGAGAGAGAGAGAGAGAGAGAGAGAGAGAGAGAGAGAGAGAACATCAGTCTGCTGCTGTTCTGTATAAATGCAGGTCGGGCTGGAAAGTGTTCAAGTTATCTTGAACAGTAGGGAAACATTAAGTCACCAACCTGGCTATACTGTCAGGGTTGTGTCAATTTCAGAACTGGCTAGACAAAAGAAATGCTTTCAAATGGAAAGAGAGCCCATATATGTATATCAACTGTGTATTTAGCCATGTGTCTGGAGTTCAGCTTTACAACTGAAGTGGTATAGTGTGGAGCACTATTATAAAGCCCATGCACACCTGTCTTCTGTGTTGCATTGTATTAACTCACATTCCATGAAGACAGCCCATTCATTTTAACTGAGCTGCCAACCCGCTACAGAGGGCAGAAAAATGTACCTGCACCTTTTTTTCCTGACATAGTGCGTTACTGTGTTATGCAACGCGTGCATTTTGAAGGTATATTGGGGGTCAATTAAAATGAATGACACCATACCACATGTACTTAAGGTGCATTATGGTGATGTAACTGTGCAAATCCAAAATCAACATATGAATAAAAAACAAAAAGCCCATAACACATCGCCAACTTCCTGTCTAGAAACCCTTACAAGAGAATGGTCAATATGATTTTGCTGCAACTTTTAGCCTTACTTAGCAAACAGCTTGCACAGAAAATGTACCCAACGGTGAAATATCCTCATTTCCAAAGAGGTATACAGACTTATGTACAGTACATAGTTGGAAATTATCATTGTAGCTCTTTCATTTCATTAAACACTTATGCTTTAGTAGACACTCCAATGCTCAGATACCCAAGTATGGTTCTGTATTCAATAAAAGCCTTGACTATGTGCAGTATGAAGAGAATAAGAGGGAGTGACATCAGCAGTCATAGCTGTAGGATCTGGCTGGCTCAATTAAAAGAAATCTGTCAGCCATTCTAAACATTTAGGGGCCATTCACAGTAAAGAGATCTGTTGTGGTGCGTTAAAGTGCACTTCTACAAGCTTTAATGAGTGTTGCATTAAGGCAATCCATTCGTTACGGGTGGGCTGCCATTCCACCTCAGTGGACAAAAAAAAAAATGTGTATGACCCTTTTTTAAAGCGCAACACATCATAGCGTACAATGAATGGCATTGCACATACAGCAGGTGAGCTGGCATGTGTTGTGGCATTAATGAGACGCACTGCACAAATGTGGCCCTAACAGCAGACACCGCAAGGTGCCTGACAACCATTTTCAGCCAGATGCATCCCTCTGATTTAGTTTTTGTGGTTCACTAATCTGACCTCCCTGACGTCAAAGACAAGCCCAGCCCAACTGCTAACAATCTATCCGATGAGAGAACATCAGTGGCCATTAAAAGCACTCTTTTGGACAGGGAGAAGGGAGCTGGGTGGCACCTAACCCAAAAATGAGAAAAAGCAAGTCTCTGTAACAAAGTCAAAATAATTTAGGCACACAGAGGATGCTCAGAAAGGCAACAACAGGCATCTTGTGGTGCTTCCTCTAGAACTCTGGAGTTTTGTTTAAAATGGCTTGCAGGTTAACTTTAACAAGAATAGTAGATGGACCTTCCAAATATGTTTAGTGTGAAAGCTCATGTTAAATTGACCAGCTACAATGAAAGTATCAATTAAAACAAATACTTTTTTGGTGTTAGATTCACATTAAATGGATTCTTTTAATCACGGGGACAAAAATGTACATATAAATGCATTAACTCTTATATACAAGACATTTCTGTGAAATATTTACACTACACACATGAACCTGGAAAAATGTGGCCATTGTGTTGTATCTAAATTTTACACACCGTCATAATTAGGTTACATGTCATTGGAACGAAAGCCAGGAAACATAAAAACATAAAAATGACTCCGTGACCTTCAAGTTGTATCGGAAATATACGATGAGCTTGATAGCCGGGTCATGTTTCACTCCCTGCATCGCTGTTCACGATAAAGTAGTTCTTATATTTACAAGGAAGAAAGTAATTGTATTTCTATGCAGACAAACGTTTGTGGCTTATCATCCTCCTCGATAGATCGAAGTCAATCGCTCAAGTTCTTTGCAGTATTGCATAGATATTGTATCGGCTTTCACTCGCAGTCTATCATCTCTGTATACTTTTGCTGCATGTAGTAGATCAGCTCCTGTAAGCAATAAAAACAACTTGATTAGAACTTAGCAAGTCCTTTGTTTTCATTCAACAAAGTTTGAGAAGCATCACCCATTAAAAAGACAATGGAATTATAGGTCGGCGTTGAGGCATTATGGTAATCCATTGAACTCACACACATCAGGATTGTCCCTTAAAAGACAAAAGCACCGGTTGTTTTTGTTGTACTTCCAGCATTTTTTAAAGAGACAAAATCGGCATCTTACATTTTTTATTTTTTTGCCCAGACATACACTTAATGTAGAACTATAGAATGTTTGAAATACACTCATCGCTATAGTTAGAGCCGACGTGCGACACTGAAGTGGTCACATATCAGCTCCATGGATCAAGAACTGAGTGATCACAAACCACTGATTGCTCAGGTTACGATCTTCTCCCTGCAGAGAGCGGTGACTGACTCACTGCTCCCACCAGGGATTCCCCCTCCTCTCTCCAGTGCTGATTGAAGAGGCAGACAGGGGAGAGGGTGGGCACAGCTGGCACTAGCTGTCAATCAGGCAACAAGGTGGATCTCGACAATGGCCCACTATACGCTGAGTTTTGGATCACAGGAGGACATTTACCAAAAAGGTTCGGCCATAGTTCTCTTTTAAATAACCAGATTTTTACTGGAGCATTTTTCAATTTGTTTTATTTTTGAACACACGTTAAAATCTGAATTGCGGGCTAGAAAACTAAATTAAAACACCAAACAATTATATTTTCTGAAAGCAAAAAGGTCCTGTAGAGAAAAAATGGCAATTAGTATTTTTTTTTTTAATGTTCTGCTATATTTGTGCAAATGTTTATAAAATCAATAGAGGTGTAGAAATGGAAGAGAGCCCTCCGCACACCTTACAGCAGTCCCGGCCAATTTAGGATGATGGTGCTCAAAGTGACCAAATCACGGATGGCACCGTGCAAACACAAAGCAAAAAGGTAAAAAGTCACCAGCACTCGATTTTTTGAAAGTGAACATGTCCCTTTATTGGACAAAAGACGTCATAGGGGAGCCGACGTTTCGGGGCCACACAGGGTCCCTTCTTCAAGGCAGAAAGTATGAAGAAGGGACCCTGTGTGGCCCCGAAACGTCGGCTCCCCTATGACGTCTTTTGTCCAATAAAGGGACATTCACTTTCAAAAAATCGAGTGCTGGTGACTTTTTACCTTTTTGCTTTATAAAATCAATAGAACACTCAACTTTTTTGGTACAATATAAAATATGGGATTGCAAACATGTCAAGCCTTAAAACTGCACAAGACCGTGAAATGGCAAAAAATGACAGTACCCGAAACTGCGATGCTTTAAATGCCTTTACTACTCAGCTGTATAAAGTTAACAGTGAGTGATGGCCCTAGAATTATTGTTCTCACTTCAACATTCATGACAATATGTGTGATGAATTGTCCTTTTCTCACCTAGGCACACCAATGAGTGTTTGCATTCGTATGTGCATGTTGTTTTTATGGTCACATTTTTTTACACATACCTTTATTGCCATTACCCAGAGGCCTCTAAGCGACAGCATAATGGTCGTGACCGTTCCTCTTTATAGAGAGTGAGGAGTGAAAGCCCGAATCCTTGCCGCTTCCAGGTTCATTCACCAGAGGTGAGATCAGACAGTGGGTGTGTGCTGATCGCCTTCTGGTCTACCTGCTATGTCAGCGGTGAAGGGAGAGGCACCTTCTCTCTACAGCCACCCATATTGTACATGAAAGCTGGCAGCTGAAAAAAAACCGATACCAAGATCATGCTTTCTTCTGCAGCAGTGATCTTGTTTTAATCACTTTAGGACCATGACGTATGTGTGTAGCTGTTAAAACAACCTCATGGCTGCAGCAGGCTGCACGCTAGAGTGAGAGAAATAATGATAGGTCCCTCCTATACAGTTTGCTCTAAATTGATCTTTTATTTTGTGAAAAAAACATTTGGAATTATATTGTGTTTGTGCACAGGAAAAGTGTATTTATTTTTTAACTGAAACTTTAGATTTGATAAATAGCTGCCCAAGTAGCATGGTACCAAAAAAATGCAACTACCATCTTTTTTACACTCCGGGGCCTATGTGTTCAGATTCAGGTTTTGGGGTTTTAAGTAATTTTGAAGCCACAAATGCAGATTTTCACATGCACGTAAAACAACATCAAAGAAATCCCTCTTAGAATTGATTATTACCCCAATGACATAGGGGGTCCTACACATACCACAGGTATCTTCTGGTTTGTTCTTTAACACAGAAAGTAACCATAAACTACAATGCCAACCAGCCACATTCTTATAAAGACTGCAGAAATTGGTCATGTAACTTCTGAATGTTTATGGTACGTTTCTTGGCTAATGTACTTTACTGCAAAATTGAAAAACAGCTGCAACAGAATAAAATTTTTACAGAGTGGACATGATTATTTATATACACATCTTGTATTGTCTTTCAACCCAAAGTGCCTTTGCTTGCACTGACAAACACAACCTTTCTGTAGGCAAAAAAATATGCCCTTGATCAGGCAATTTACATTACAAGCAGGTTTCAGGCTAGGTTCACACCTAGGTGATTGAGCAGGGTGAGCAATTTTCAATGTATAGATATGATTATGAGACCCAAACCCCACGACAACCACCTGAAAATAGCTCCTGCACCTTTTTGCACGACAGGCTTTTACTACCGTGCGACAAATCGCAAAGGCGTGAACAGCTTCCATAGACTTCAATGCAAAGCTCTGTTTTGTGCGATATCTCGTGGCTAAATCTGCGCGATAAAATCGCCTAGGTGTGAACCTAGCCTAAAGCAAGACAAGCCAGGTCATGTGTCAGAAAGTGGTACGATCATTGGTTTGGGACTGGGGCTTGGTTTCTAATTAAAAGAAGATGTAACCCCAAGCAGAATGACATTTTCTTTTTCACAGTACTGTACCATGTTTCTTTTTATTTAAATATTTTACCATCTCATTTTTTTTTTACATTCCGTTCTGCTGATCTCTTACATTCACCTCCTGTCTAAATGCATGCGACCCAGCACCAAAATGCAGGGGCACGATTGGGAGACAGGAACAGAACACTGTCACCCTAAAACAGAAGTGTCTGCACATTGACTCATGGCAGGATGACTAGGTATTATTGGAAAGAAAGCTGCAAATTTAAATAGAAAGTTACATTAGGAGTCCTTTTTTATGTTAAAACTTAAATGTGATGTCAGTGATTAGGCGAGCAAAGTGTCAGTGAGCCAAGTGTCCATCAACAAATAGTAAGCTTTAACAGTTTGTGAGCATTTTGTAATGATGTGTACAATTATCTCATTCTCGGGTAACATTCCTCTTATGTAGGCTGTAAATAAAAGGTGTGGAGTGGGTTTACATGGTAGCTGTTTGCCAAGCCCTATAACAAACCATCAGATATTTGTTAGTGGAAGTTAAAACAAATGAAAACATGTGCTCTATGCTTCGCCAACATTTTGTGAGCACCTGACCATCACATCTACAAATTTGACCAAAACTGTGTTGCCACCCCTCCAAATTAATGCGTTCAGGTGATTCCAGTAATGGGTGCCGGTAATGCTATAGCATGCAAACTAGGGATGCACCGATACCGTTTTTTTCGGCCCCTGGTACTCACCTATAATGAAACCGGCATCCATGGGCCCGGATTATCAAGCGATCTCCCTCTGACCGGAAGTTTCAGTATCGGGGAAGGTATCGGAGCATTTGGGCGATTAGGAGTAGTCGCCCAAATACTCAGTATCAGCATCGATACTAGTATCAGTATTGGTGCATCTCGAACATATTATAACAACCTTGTGGCAACAGTTTGGGGAAGTCTGTTTTCTGTTCCAGCATGACTGTTACCCAGTGCACAAAGCAAGGTTCATACAGACCCGGTTTGTGAAGTTTGGTTTGTAGGAACTCGAGTGGTGTGTACAGAACCCTGACCTATAGAAAGCCTCTGTGACTCTGCCAATTGTGCTTGAGGTCTTCTCATCCAATATCAGTACCTGACCTCCCAATTACTTTTTGGCTGAATGGGCACAAAGTTCTCACAGACACACTCCAAATTCACTGACCATTGGATACTGATTATAGTCGCAAAGGAGGGTAACTATAGATGACCCAGGGGTGTGGAAATTTTTGAAAAAACTACTTGTCCAAGGGCTAAAGCGGGGGTCAAATCTACTTGTCCTTCATGACCATCTACTTGTCCCAACACAAAAAAAATAAAGTTTTAAAAGTTTAAAACTAGGGATGCACCAATACCAGTTTTTGGGTATTGAGTACGAGTACCAATTTTTTGCTTTCAGCACTCACTATCGGTGCTTCCGTTGGCATGGAGCAGGCTTTCCGGGCAATCAGGAAGAGGGTAGTGGGATGCTACCCGGCTTCCTGACGGCCAGGGAAGCCGACTTCATGTTGTTTGGCCGGCTTGATTGTGAATGGCTGGGAAGCCGGTTTCCCGGCCAATCATCATTGAGCCAGCTTGCTAGCCAATCAGGAAACCTGGCGGGAGAGTAATGACCTGATTGGCCGGGAAGATGGCTCGATGCTGATTGGCGGCCAATCAGAAAGGAGCTGGCTTCCCGGCCAAACAACTGATCACGCTGACCAATGAGTGCTTGCAATTTGCGAGCAAAATTCAAAATGCATAGGGCAGGAATAGTGACGGGTGCACCAGGAGCGAGGGACCCCCGAAAACCACAGCGCGGGGGGCGGACAGGATCGTCGATTCTCCCTTCATACAAGTGATCTGATTAGATCACTTGTATGAAAACGAGCGGCGGCTCCACAATATACATTTAGCTCTGCTTGTCCGGAGCAGGGCTGAATGTATTAAAAAACTACTCGCCCGGCGCCCGAAACTGCCTGTCCCGGGCGTCCGGCGATAGGAATTCCACACCCGTCACAACGGTTTTAGAATGGAATGTTAAAAAAATAAAATCTAATATCTAAAAGTTGTGAGGGTCAGATGTCTTCAAACTTTCAGCCATATAAAAAGTAACCCAAATATACTGTCAAAAAATATAAATCTTTAAATACTCACTCTGTTGTTTCTCTCGCCAGCAGTTATTCCTCACATTAGCCACATAATCCTCTTCAATATTCTTTTCCAACTTCTGCAGCGACTTACCACTATATTCAGACTGAAAATCCTTGCTTACGTAATATGGAACGTCAAGATTTTCTGTTAGGCGCTTGATGGTTTGACCACTAAGAACAGACAGACACTTAACAATCATCTTTCTAAAAAGGCACAAAAGTAGTGACACACGGGAGGAAAATCTAAAAATAAAATTGTATCTGATTTGCAGCATTCAGAAAGCAGTGCCATAGCTTAGTAAACACTAGGGATGCACTGATACTGGGGATTTCACGAGTACTTGTGAAAATGGCCAGATACTAAACGCCGATATCAGCGCTTTACATTTTTTTTAAATGGAAGCAGCTGTCTTGGCAGCCTTCCTGTAAACTACGGCACCTATTTACAACGCCAGCCACACATATCCTACTTCCAGGTGACAGAAGTTGCACGTAAACGTCTGCACACCGCATGTAATATGTGATATTACATGCGATTAGAAAACACTCTCCCTGAATACACAATCATTGTGTCCAGGGAGAGGGATTGATTCCTAACCAAATCACATATTACATGCGTTGTGCAGGCGTTTACATGCAACTTCTGTCACCTGATTAACTTGAATGGGTGACAGCGGCCACTTGTAAACATCAGATTAGGGATTCCAGATACAGGAAATGCATGTTCCTGATGCAGGATTCCCTAGTTGCACCTAAAAGATACAGGTGTGAATGGAGCCTAATACACTTACACTCCGCGCACCCCCTCACACAAAATATAAAAGTGTGTAATTCTCAGTCCCCCACATATAACATAATGTACTGGTATTGGTACTCACACTTGAAAAAAAATGGTATTGGTGCATTGCTAGTAAATACTTCATAGTTGTGAGCAGGAAGAAACTAGGTCATGGCTTGTGAAATCATGTATTCCCACGAGGATAGGAAATCTATTATGGCATGCACATAACTGTGACCTTTGTAAAACACAATTCTCAGTTCTAATTTTTTAGAATGCAATTCACTAATGAATAGTGTAGGTTAACTTTATCATACAGCCAAAGTTTTTTTACTTTACCCTATCCTCACAGATCACCTTTACAATGATAGTATATATGGCAGATGTATACATGCTAAATCTACCAGTGACAGAAAACAGATACAATTAAGCTAGAAAAGTGAACCCCCCCAAAAATTAACAGAAGATAAAATGGGGTTTAATAAACTATTAAAGTGTAAATATATGTAAGGGCATGCTCATTTTATATAGTGAAGCTGTTCACTTACGATCTGGGATATAAACTGTATGGAGGATTGGAGACCATTAACTGGCTAAGCAAGGACACTAGTATCAATACAATTATAGGCATTAGTTGAATAAGCATGGAGAATCCACCCTGCCGAAAAAAAACAAACAAGAGGAATTACAATTATGACTGAAAAACATGAAAAAAAGCCAATAAACACTTTAAGCTGATAAGGAAAATCACAGTTTTTTTCTTAGTTTAAGAAAAAAACTGCAGTTTTATATCAGGAATGTTATATCTGCAAGCACAGTAACAATAAGATTTGTATATCTACCCTAAAAACTTTTTCTTGAAGTCCACAGGAACAAAGGAAGAGGAGAAAAATCATAGGTGGTTGGGTTATAACTGCTGCCATAAGCCGGCCCGCAATATAACCCACTTCTAACAGCCAGCACTTTTTTGAGCAAGCAATACATAAGGAGGAATAGGAAACTCAGAGGCAGTATCAGTGTCCCTTAATAGACTTAAAGAAAAATATTTTATAGTTGGTACTTTAGCCTTTAATATCACTTTAAACTTTTCTTTGAAGAGAAAATATGTCCAGACTCCTAGGACACAAGCAAAAATGAGGCATGATTCAAGTAGGAGAGGTTTATACGTGAAATTGCTTACTTTTTTCTTTGACAGTGTGTAAATTATACTTTAGGCAGCGGTATAACCCACATGTCCAAGAATTACTTCTGATCCCGTGTCCCTAATTCACCCACGATTACTGTTTTAGCTTTCAATGACGTGCACATCTTGGCTGCTGAATCAAATCATTTTCTGCTCATTGTGCACATACCTGTGTGAATGACACATAGAGGCTTCCAATTTCAAATGTAGTATTTTTGGAAGTATAGTTTAAAAGGAGAATTATGAGGCGAGTGATTTTCACTCAGCCTCATAAATCTGAGCCGACCTGCGACAATGAAACTGTCACAGGTCGGCTCAGTAGATCGGGAAGTGAGCGAACACATACCATCGCTCGCACACTTCTCGATCTATCCCTGCAGAGAGCAGTGACCGTAACTCACTGCTCCCTGCAGGGATTCCCCCCATCCCCTGTCCGATCCTCCAGCGCTGACTGGCGAAACGGACGGGGGAGGGCACAGCTGGCTCTGCCTCTCAATCCCGCAGCTGGGTGGATCCAGACATAATTGTCGGGATCCATCCCGGCTGCGGCGTCTCAGTATACCGTGAGCTGTAGCACGCGGTATACTGAGCCTAGGGTGGCGGGAGGACGCTAGTTTGTGTCCTCCCGTTACCCTTAGGAGAACTATGGAGAAAAGCCCTAACCCCATAGTTCTCCTTAAATAATTTTTTTTAAATGATGAATTAATGAGTCACATAGGCAGTCTGGCTGTGTTGTGTGTCTGCAGGTTGACATGAAGTATCAAAAAAGAGTGCTCTGTTAAAAAATTATTTATTTAAGTAGTCATACTTACATCTCCCCTTTCATCTTCCCTGTCATGACCACTATGATGTTGATGTTGGTGATGGCTAGATGTTGTGCGTCCATTAGAATATGTACGAACATTTGCTGAAAAAAAAAACAAAAAAACACCACAATAAGAAAAAAGGCACTAAGCATATCTAGGGCTTGTTTATGGTCATTGTCAGCTATATAAAATGGCAGTAGAAGCCAGTGAAAGTATTTAAAAGAAACTTTCTGTAAATAAAATGGCACCACTGAAAAGTACTGCATATTTCCCTGTTGCCACTAGCCTGTAGTAAACTTCATATTTTGGCTCAGCTAAAAAAAACACTACCTTACACAGTGTTTCGATGACGAGCATATTTATATTGTATTTCCACTATTGCAGTCAAAATTGATAAAAGCCCACTATAGGTTTGTTAATCCCATTCATATAGCATACCAAAAACTACTTTAGAAAAAGGGCCCAGCAGGGAGGAGAGAAACTTTCAGGAGGCCGAGCAGGGCGGGGAGGAGAGCGCTGGCAGCGTTATCACAAGAGGCAGAGCTCTCCTCCCGTACTGCCCCGTTCGGCCTCCTGTGACAAGCAAATTAGGATGGAGAGCAGTGCAGGGAGGAGACAGCTGTCACAGAAGGGTGAGATGGCAGTGCAGGGAAGAGAGCACTGTCAGCGTCATCACAGGAGGCAGAGTTCTCCTCCCCGCCCGCTCAGCCTCCTGTGACTGGCAGATCAGGATGGAGAGCAGTGCGTGGAGGAGCTTTATGAATGGATAGGAGCACTCAGTATAGAAGGTTTCTGTTAATTTATAACAGGGGCTGCAGAAAAAGAGATTGAGGACTGTGTCCTCAATCTTTTTTTCCATTTGAAAAGGGAAATATGTTTAGACCCCTGATATTTCCCCAAAGCCCCCGACAGTAAAAGTAAAATAATAAAAAAAAAATATTAAATAATAAAAAAAAAAAAAAAAATTCTGGTTGTGTTTTTTTTTTCGGTTTCATTTAAAAAATTCAATTTCAGTGCACCTCTATCTTTAATCCTTTGTTAGGACAGACAGTATCCAAATCTAATTTACAATGGTTAATGAAATCTGGCAGCACAGTGCAGACAGGCATAATTAGAGTAAACATACCTTCCCACAACTCCCTCCTTAACATTACATAGGGGGAAGCTAGGTAGGATTTTTAAGCAAGTAAAAAAATCATTTAAAAATCTAAGCAGCAGTTTCTAAATACTTTTCGTTTAATTTATGCATTTATGTGAATGGCAAAATATAACAATACAAAAGCTGGTATTATCCCAATTTGACTACAAAAGTGGAAAATCACTCTCCTCCGTGCTGGAAGGAGGACACAGCAAGCATTGGGTAGGTACAATAGCCAGCCTGCTATTGGCTATTGCAATTTGAAACCCGCTGTATTTACATTCAGCTGCCGTCTGCAGAATGGTGCCACTGGCAGCTGTCATTTCCTGCATGAAGCTATTCAAGCGCCATGTGCTTGCAATTCAATTATTAAAAAGAAAATGATAAAGGTGGGAAATAGTCAGTTTCTGCCTGACAAATTCTGCTGCGGGAGGTGCGTTGCAGAGCCATTCATTTCAATGACACCCCAAATGCGTCTTCCACCCACAGTGTGATCGCCTGCACTGAAACACACGGCATTGCAGTGCGATTGCAAAAAATTGTGCATGCAGTTTTATACTGAAGTAAACTAATGTTTGTAACACTGCATTTGTGCATTTCATTTTCAATTAAGGATGGTATTACATTTTTTTTTCCACACGATTAATTGAAAAAATAAAATCGGCCAACTAATTGATTATGAAAATCATCAGTTGCAGCCCTAACCCGGTGTCTAAGTCTCTTAAAATATTACTGCCCCGAAGAACTACAATAACTAGAGATCCATTTTCTATTTTTTTTTATCACACTGTACAAACTGATATTGATAGTGCTGAAAAAAAATCCACACACTTTCAATTTGAAGACATATGAGCAGTACAGTAAACCTACGGGCTGAAAACTGAGAACAACCCTAAAACTGGGAGGCAGTTATTAGACAGCCTCCAGAAACTGTCCCAGCTTTCAGATGACCTCTACAATTGGATCTAGCTATGGGAAACTCATACACAACCCAACAAGAGATGCTTAATAGGAGGTTGCTGTGTGCTTGTGGGGAAGCTTCTATCCAGTCTTGAGGGGATGACAACTGCTTTAAAATGTTATTTAGAAATGCTTACGAGTTGATTTACTAAGGTGGAAAACCATTAGGCCACAGCAATCAGTTTTCCCCTGACAGCAGTCAGAACATTAAGATATTACTTTAAAAATGTGTTCCTGGGGATTATTACTCAGTGTAGTTTGTAGCCTCAAACTGCAGCATTTTAAGTTTTACCTGAAGGGAAGCCTCCTCCAAAGAACATGTTAAACAAATCTTCAGGAGTTATATCGGCCTCAAATCCTCTATGATAATCAAAACCACCATTTCGGTGGTTGGTATGCATGCGCTCCTCAGTTCCAGACAGGTCATATTGCTTCCGTTTCTCTGGATTGCTTAATACCGCATATGCATTCCCAATCTCTGCAAAAGAGAACCAGTTAAAAGGTTGTTACATTGATAATTCAGTACGTTCTTCATAAGCAATGAATGAGACATTAGTACAAATACTTGTATTTAGACACATCCTTTTCACATACATAAAAACTCCACTTAAGTATATTTATTATATCTTTAGTGGAGAGTACAGGATGCAGCCTGAAAGCAAATGTAAACTTCTTAAGTTTATGTCCCAAACAAAACCACACTCGGCAAGAAGATTGCCAAAGAGGAGGCACAACAAATACACAGTACATGGTGGGTTTGCAATTTAGGTATAGTTTTTCAACCTATATGCCCCATAACCTTTAACCCAAAACCCAATTAACAGGTTTGGTTGGGTGAACACAGATGTCCACTGGCAGCCAAGAGAAGTATGAAGAATGTACTGTTGCTCTGAAGAATATGGTGTGGATTTCTACCGAATCAACATTTGGCATAGGTTTTGTGCATAGAAGGATAAAAACCAAGCATGTGGCCATGTTGCTGATGTTTGAGGCAATACTAGCACATTAGGTCTAGAAAGGTAGATGAACACAAGCACTCAGCAAAGTGTTTGCCTTGAACTGAAATGAACACAAGCTGCAGCATCCGTCCATGTAAGTGCTGCAGCCTTTTTGAATGGCATGCCCAATGGGGTCTTTAACCTGTGGGAGCACTGAAGTGCGGGCTGACACAGGCATCTAACAGATTGATTACTTGTTAATACTCCTGTTTTGCACAAGCAGATCAAAAATCAATAATATAGTGTGTGTGTGTGTGTGTGTATGACTGCATTCCGATTACATTTGCTGCCTGAAACACCAGTGGTCAACAAAATGTTTGATGTTCTACACAACAGGAAAATTATTAGACATTCAGGGCAGAGATGTGTAGAATACAGTAAAATGCAGCAATAATCAAACTCCTCTCTAAAAGGACCATTTTTACAAATAACATTGTATTCTAATATATTCTAATATAATCCTAGAAAATAACTAGCAATTCTACTTTATAGTCATATATTAAAGTGACACTAAACTCACTAAATCTTAAAAAACACATTCAAGTACCTCAACTATTAACAATAATGTATCTTATTTGTGTATTATTCGGCTGTAGATTCTCAAATCATCTCTGAATTGGTGCTGACACTGTCCTTCCTTCTGGAGGGTGGCTACTTGTGTTCCCCATGGTCCCTGTGTATGTTCAAAAAAATGGTAACAGTGTTCTCAAAAGAAAAGACACTGTGAAAGATGGTTACTGAACGGACCGAGACCTTTTTCTTATAAAAGTATAAACTTTATTGTTACAAAATCTCATATTTCGCACCTGTTACTCCATTTCTACAAAAAAATCTTCATAAAAGAACAACGTTGTCCATAGCATTCATACATACATTCTTCCATACATACTATGCACTCACACAGATTACGGCAATTACTATCTTCAAAACTTCTAAAGGGGGAATTCTCCCAATATAACTCTTGGTCCCTCTCGGTACTTTTTTTCCCGCTTTTGAGGATGCAAAAAATACAACAATAAGAGGGGGAAAAAACTGAGCTGTAGTTTTACTTTGAGATATAGGTCTGACTTGTTTGTGGCACCTGATGCATAAAAAATATAATGAAATAGGGACTGTTTGTCTGTAATTGAGGAAAAAGGAAGTCTCTATAATCAGTACAATTTGGGGCAAAAACAATCCACTATGATCATGTATATATGTTCTGGTCTCAGTATATCAACCCTTTTGATGAGTGAATTCGTTTAGACAGTCTCAATTATTTGGTTTTATAAAGTTATTCAAACTTTCCCAGTGCAGTGAAGTTCCTCCTGGTGTTGGATATATTTCAAGGGGGAGACCTGTGTGGGA